ATGATGCCTGACTCTTCACTGGGTATGCTGCCAATGCATAAGAGAAATATGGGCCATTTCTACTTCAAGCCCCACGGCGCATTAATGGATCTATTGCTCAGAAGATGCACCACATAAACCACAAGAACTAGAAGTGCCGACCCTTCTCCCATTTGTTCAAATCTCCATGAAGCATTGCATGATATTTTTTTAATGTCTAAATTAGGTATTTAATATTAATTACATTTTTTATCCCCATTTTTCAAAATTAAATTTTCCAGAAACTCATTTTTTATCATACCTTTCATTGGATCCACAGTTTTTATCAATTTTTCAGCCACGTATCTTAAAATTTCATTAAAAAATATACTTCAATATGATATTTAGTTAAACCAAACAAGTGCTAATTAAATAGCCATAAATGTAATAATTTGTTAATAAATTTATTTGGTAGTTCAAAATGGTATCGAATAAACAAAAGATAAACTCACCTGAATAAGCATGATAAAGATAAATAAATTTGTCTGATTATTTTTTATTATTTTATCTTTGGATGAACCCCATATAAGGCATATATGGAGCGCTATATTCGAATGTTCACATGGAATGACGTATACTTTGACTATTCATAGTATGTCATCAAATGATGTTAGAAAATGGTACAGAGTTTATAAGAAAATGCATCGAACGTGGATCGAAATTTGTGTCCACAAGTTTTCCTTCCGTACAAACACAAACCCATGCAATGAAGCTTAAATTTAGGTGTTTAAAAAATTAATTTGTCAAATTTTAGATGCTATAACAGCAGGTGGCTTTGCAGTTTCCAATCTCGAGGAATTTTACTCGAGACGTGCGTTTAGAAATGACAATCGGGAGAATCAAGCTGAAGCTCGAGTCGAACCCCACTTTTAGGTGCTAGGCAAAGCTCGAGCCGACCCGTGTGGCTCGCCGGCTCGGAGCATATATTTTAAAAAAATAAAATAAAATAAAATAAAAGGCATCGTGCTGCTATCAGAAATAGGACAGCAGATTGCTGCCTTGTTTGTTTAAGCTGCCATTTAAGGCTGCAGGCCCGTTGCCATTTTATTTAATTAAAAAAAAAATTCAAAGCCAAACAAAACTTGAGCTGGCCCAACTCGGCTCGGAAAGGCTCGAGCCAAAAGCTCAGGTCACTCCTAATTTTTTTTGCCGAGCTTTTGCTCGGCTCAACACGGACCCCGAAAAAAGCTCGGATATTTTACCCGAGCCGAGCCTAGAATTTCGGCTCGCGACGTCCCTACGTGCGTTTGAAGAGGTCTGGTAAGTTGTGGTCTTATGTGAATTCAAAGACGGAAGGCATCTCCAATTTATCCTTATCGCATCAAAATTCATGAAATCGCACCAAGAGCCACTATTTATTTACACCATTTATCATTAAAATAATTAAATATATTTTTGCTCTTCCCTTCCACTTTACATAAAATTTAAAGAAGGGTATTTGTGTCTATTTATATCATACAACAAATTATTATTATTATTATTATTATTATTATTATTATTATTATTATTATTATAGACTGAGGGCATCTCCAATTTATCCTTATTGCATCAAAATTCATAAAATTGACCAAAAACCACTATTTATTTGCACCATTTTACATTAAAATAATTAAATACATTTTTGCTCTTCCCTTCCACTTTACATAAAATTTAATGAAGGGTATTTGTGTCTATTTTTATCATACAACAAATTATTATTATTATTATTATTATTATTATTATTATTATTATTATTATTATTATT